TTATAAAATTGTCAAATTATTTAGGTTACAAGACATACTAAATCTAGTACAAAATACTAAATCTAGTACAGGTAAATCCAAACCATTAATTATATTACAATAAATCAGGAATGATGATGTGATATAAATAAGAAATAATAATAATAATCAAATCCTTGATTTAAAGAGATAAATAAATTTTTTACAATTTTTTTTTCAATAATAAGCACGGAATCACAAAAATATAATTTTCTGAATCGTGAGTCTCTTGATCGATCTTAGCCAAAGGAAAAATAAACGCTGTTTAATGGATAAAAGTCGTTACTATGAGTGTTTGAATGTATAAAAAAAAAAAAAAGAAAAAAACCAAACCGTCTACATAACCCATTGGATACTCATGCTTCAAATTTTTTATATCAATACAACCGAAGTGTCATTTAATTAGTCTGATTGAAAATTTTAAAAATAAATTGTTTCGCGCATCAAGTGACTGAACGTGCAGTCAAGATAAAACTTGAAAATTCGTATAAGATATACTGTTACATCCCATAGTATATGGTTAAAGATGCAATTCGCAAACGTAAAGTTTCGCCAATTCATCCAATAGTTTCCGAAGCCATGTACAGGTAAAAAATTAATTACTCTAATAAATACAGTAATTTATAAATAAATTAACATTTTCGTTATAAGCAATTTTTGATTTAATATTGTATAATACAATGATCATCGATTTGGCGCGAAATGGCCTTTTTTCCACCAAAAAAAAGTCATCTCAAGAGAAGGGACTCAAGAAAATCGATTTAATTGTCGTTGTACAAAAAACTAATTCAACATTGAATCTTGTTCGTGTCAAAGAAATAATTCATTATTTACAAGAATGTGTATTTTACGCGACCAGTGTAAAAATTGTTTTTTTTTTTTTTTACGAGAAATCAGTAAAAATTTATTAAATATTAATACTGTATTACAAATTTAAATATGCATTTTCATGTCAAAAATTCACCGATTGCAAAGTAACGTTATTTTTAATTTCGAAGTGAAATAAATTGAAAAATAAGTCGACAAATTTTGTGATCTGCGTTTTCATATGTTAAAACCGGTTTTAACATATGAGAAATAAAACCGGTTCCAAACTTTGCGCGTTGTTTACACCTCACCCCTTTTTTTTCTACAAGCCATTAATCAAAACCAAAACACCTCAACAGCTCAAGTCATGAATCAAAACTCTTCAACACCTCAAGTCATTAATCAAACCTCAACAGCTCAAGTCATGAATCAAAACTCTTCAACACCTCAAGTCATTAATCAAAACCAAAACACCTCAAGACCTCAAGTCATGACCTCACGACCCCAAAAAAGACCCCGTACCGTCGATGCAGTTATACTAAACCAAAACGACCTTATAAAAGTACTATATGAGAAAATTATTAAAATAGAAGATCTTCAAGATACAACGGATGGTTTAACAAAAGAACTTAAAGATACAACTAATGTTTTAACGAACCAAATAAATATTCTTAACGAGATAAATGAATCATTAGAGTCAGAAATAACAAATCTAGATAGAGCGTTAGGGAGAGGAGAATACAATTCAGCAACGACGCGGGTAAAATTTAGAAATCTTTGTAGTATTGATTGTTATTGTTAAACTTTGTGTAATAATTTAGCGTCTTCTTGTGTAGGTTTTAGAATTGATAGATAATCCGGAGGCGAGATATTTTGCTGTTCGTCAAAGCACGTTAGATGGGTTAAAACTTGAAAACGAACATCTTCTAATAAAGTTGGAAGAAATGAAAAAAAAATTTCAGGGAATCAATATCGATAACACCGATTTTAATGTCATACCAATGTCAGCATTGGAAAATGTTCAAAGAGAAAAGAGTTTGCTCGAAGAGCAAATTCTTGAAAAAGACAAGAAAATCTTAAGATTGAAAGAGGTAATATAACTACTGATTTTAACGTATGACAGATGTATTTTATTTTAACGTTAATTATCTTATATGACATTCTAATTATTTATAAGGCCATGGAAAACAAATCTATTGAATTTAATAAGATTTTGTCTGAAATGTTTGGATATTACTTCGAATCCCTCGAAGATAATGGTGTTAAAGTAAGATCTATATACGCGGATGATTATGAATCACTAACGTTTAAACCTAATGAAAATGGAAAATTACAATTAACGGGTGGAAACTCGGATGTTATCAAGACTTTCGACAATTTTATTAAGTTCTGGATTGTAAAAAATGGCTCCGTACCTTGTTTTATGGCAAATATTTTGGTAAAACAGTTCGAAAGATTAATAGGTAGAAATAATCAAAATGATGGATCTTTCAGTTCCGAAATGAGTTTCATCGAGCCTGGCCAATTATGAATAATCGGTTAAAGCAATTCTCGGTTTAGTGGTCGTTTTTTTTTTTTTTTTTTTCATAACGATAGTAATTCTTGCATAAGCTTTTAATCATTTTAAAAATCATATATCAATTGGATAATGCATAATTATGATGTTTTAGATCAACGAAAGTGGTACAAATTTTAAATTAGAATCAAATATTTCAATGAAAAAAAAAAATTTTGTCTTTTTGCGTGGTCTAGCTAATAAATGTTGAATAGCCAATACAGCAATAGCATTTTGCAATAATAACCCTAAGAAATTTTTGTTTTAATAACGATAAGAATTTTTTATATTGTAACTAGAGATTGCATACATAAAACTAATTTTGAATATCAGATATAATTATAAATAAAATTGATTAGTCTTGGATTTATATATATATATATAACTTTCAAACAACGCCAGGACCAGGGTTGTAAAATTACGGTAATTTATTGTAAGTTACCAAAATGGTAAGTTACTGGTAAGTTACTGTAAGTTACC